CACACACACACACACACACACACACACACACACACACACACACACACTGTACCTGTATCCAGCTCCCTGTTCGATGACCGTCTTCATGTGTGTGATGTTAGCCAGGAACAGAGCGATGTCCAACATGCCCTCAGCCGCCGTCTTCTTGGTGGCGTACAGGTTCATGTTCAGATTAGAGGGTGAACCTCCCTGAAACATACAAACATACAGAGATCATATTACAGATTTCAAAGTGATCAGCACAGCTTCTCCACGGCTCCAGCCGACTACAGTTTACGCCCATCCTGTCTGTATGGAGAGTTTTGTATAATCTGGAGGTGACAGATGCAATGAAATGACTGTAACCACTGCCGTTCTTGATAGGCCTACACCAAAAAAAGAAAACATGGAAGAAATAGACAAACGCCAAGTTACTCTGCTGAAGTCTGACCAGGAGAGGGCAGCAGAGACCAAGAACACCAGCGCAGGATCCTGCCAGGAAAAGCCTGATGAGATAAACTGTGCTCATTGTTTTATTTATTCATCCCCCAACCAAATCCAAGCCATAATAATAATAAGAATAATTACACTCTACATACATCATTTGAATTGCTTTTTTTCATCTCACTATATTTCGTGTACTTCACTGTATTACAGCAGGGATGAGATAAGCGTGCCTCTTATTTTGACAGCTCAGAAACAGATGTTCCAGTGATTTGAATGATGAAGAGTAGGACTTTGTTGCACATCTGATATTTTTCCATATCAACTGTGTGTGTATGAATGTGCCGGTGTGTGTGTGTGTTAAAGGAAATATTCCTGTTTCCCTAACACAACTTTTGCCAAAAAGAGGCGGTGTTTAACATCTTTACATAAATCCTTTCTATGTCGGGGACCAAAACATTTTCTAGATCTAATTATCGCTCTGTGTACAGTTCATGGATTGCAGACGCACATATTGCATCACTTAACACTGAGCTTTAGATTAAAGCATTCTGCCTGTAAATGGATCATTTTACCAGGAGCTGTGTCAGTGTGCCGTTTGAAACAGTGCAGTCTGTTTTTTCTTCAGGCTCCACAGAAACAGAGACGTGCTGAGGGGAGACATATAGATCATACATGTAAAGCCAATGGACACTAGGGACACATTGCACGTCATGACCTCACTCGGCTGTAATGTGCTCTACTGCTCCAAACTAAACAGAACGTCGACACTGTGCATGCAATTGTTCAAACCTGCAGCTCCTCCGTGTGTGCTGCCTTTGATTTGCATGTGGCACTTTGGCCCTGGTGTTGGGGCGACACTTCATCCGGACTTCTTCATTTGAAGCATGCTGAGCCCCTTAATAGTCAATCATGTGCTCGGTTCATTGTTCTTCGCTTTCAGTTGTTGTGACCACACTGCGGTAGATGTAAACAGTATTCTCGTGAGCTGAGATCATTGCCTCGGTTTCTCCCTCGCACTTCGGGCAATCTTGCAGACAGAAACTTGGCAGGTGCACTTTTTTTTTTTTTGCAAAAAATATTTTCCATTGACAGTGTTCAAATGAGGTCTATGTCTTATCAGAAGGGTGCCTTGAGTTCTGGAACAAGATGCTGATGTTGATGTTTCCACATGTAGGTTTTGGACTCTCCGAGTGCCACAAAACCAGAACCAAAACAGAACGGCCCTCCGCGTAAGAGGAAAAGTATGCTTTTTTTGGGGGTATTTTCAGATAACCCGCACCTTGCACTTTATCCAAATGTTTACTAATCCCAGGGTTAGTTTTAAAGTCTGAATAAATGTATTTCTGTGAAGGACAATGTACCCGTCCTGATGCAGTGATCCCAACATGCTATATTTGTTTCTATATTTCAGACAGCCTGTGTTACAGTACAGCTTGATCCAGACTGGGTTCATCTCCAAGAAAGTATGAGGCAATTCCTAGAACTGCAAGACATGTCAAAACACTATGAACACGTGTTCCGAGCTCTTTTGAATGTTTTGTGTGTGTGAGAGAGAGAGAGAGACAGAGAGAGAGAGAGAGAGAGAGAGAGAGAGAGCTGGAAGGAAAAACAGAGAAAGACAGAAAGGATGTAAGGAAGTGAAAAAAGACTCCGATATAGAGACGGGGGAGAGAGTGAGAGAAGAAGTATGTATATATGTACTGGCCTGTTTCCATCTTTTCTCCTTTGGGGACTCATGTGGTCACAATTTATCAACATCAGCTTTGGGCAGGCTGCCAAAACACACACACACACACACACACACACACACACACACACACACACACACACACACACACACAACACAATCAAAACACTGGAATGGCCTACATACAGTTTTACGGACCGTGTGTGTTCAATTAGTTTAATGTCTCTCTAAATGTACTGACTGTGCATTTATCACACTTAATGTGAACTTATCTGGATTTATGAAATTATTATTTCCCCCTTTGTGTCAGAGAGGGATGGATCCTTGTTTACGGCACAAGAAGTGGTGAAGAGGTTTACGCACGTTCATCTTCAGAAGCTGTGAACTAGCAGTCGGCCTCAGGGGAAAGTCATGAAAAGTCCAGGGCCGACTACCTGGCTCAGCTTTTGCTTTTGAGGAATGAGAAAATGTTTTCCCGTTTTCTCAGCTCATCTGTAAGGTAACCACCATTTACAACTTGTTTTCCTAACAATTCAACAGCTGCCTTCATGATGAACAGATACAGGAGCTGCAGCACAGTAGTGCCTCATTGTTCTGGGCTGACTGGACATTGTCCCATCGTATGGTGTTCTGCAGTTTTGGAGGTTTCTCTCTGAGGACTGACACTTAGCAGCAGTCAATCAAACTACTGTAAAATGTGGATTTCATTGCTAATTGCTAATGTAGCTGCACAAGATGACTAATGTCCACATGCAATAAAAGATGAAACAGGAACATGAAGCTGCTACTCGGCACCTGCAAAGAATTTCTGTAAGTGCGCATCATGCTGGGAATAGTGGACATTACATTATAGCCCACTGTTCTTTAATTTACCTCAGTCTAATGGCTGGAATCTGACCAACTGTTGAGGATTAAAATAAAAATAAAACATTTATTCAAGACTCATGAATCAAACTGTGACACATTAAAGTTTTGATCTGATGATGGCGGTCGATGAACAGTCACAGAATCATAAAAGTTACTATAATTTATCCTGAGAGCGACATGAATGAATGACGTGAACCAAATTTCATGGCAATCCATCCAATAGTGAGTGACAGACCGATACAGCTATCCCTAGAGCCACTAACTGAGTAATAATAATAACAATAATAATAATATAAAATGTAACTCCAGCACTGAGCTGAGTCCTTGATAGACAGAAGTTCTCTTTTATTCCCATTGTTTTTTGTGGACACATGGTATTTATAAAGTTAAAGCCCGTAAAACTTCCATTCCTGAAATTCACTGATGCACAACCCAAGGCCCAGATATCACGTAATCTACACACACCCACACCAGCTCTACACACACACTTGAAACACATGAGGCACATACTTGAATGTGTTGCTCCACATGCTCCGATATGCACATGTGTGCCGCCAATATGCACCAAAACAACTACAAGTCTTTAAACATCTAATTGCACATAAACACACACACACAAATATTCACCAGACCACATGGGAGGCCCCCCCCTCGACCTCACAGGAAGTGCTCCTCCCCTGCACTCCTACTGGTTGCCATTATGGCCAATAGGAAGGGAAGGCCAACTAGGAGTGGAGCTCTGGTTTTCTTTTAACATCTTATTTTTAATGTCAGTCCGTCTCTGCTCTGTCTGTCTGTCTCAGTGCTCTCCTCTTTGACTGGGTTTCTTTGTTTTTCATCTGCGTTTTTTCCAAAGCTCTCTCTCTGCCTGAAGGCATCATCTTTCTGTTTGGTTTTATGTAACTGCCATTTAGGGTGAGGGAGCAGGAGCAGGAAGAAAGCAGAAAAGCAGATGAAGAGAAACAGATAGTGACACAAAGAAGAGGAGTCAGCATGACGGGGGGCGAAAGAGAGGCATGGGACAAGGACATGAGTTGTGTTTTCTCTTGCTGACTTGACTGGCAGCAGAACCGTGTCTGGCTTACTACTTATATAAACCCTTTTGGCCTTAAACATGCCTGTGTGCTGCCTAAAACTAGGAGCAGACTTCTTTTAGATTTATATCAGAGGCCTTAATGATGGAAATACAACCCTGGATTGAATTGACCACTGCGTTCCAGCCAAACATCACCTTTTCTGTGTTTGTTGGTTGTAGGGACACGGGTCAGCACGGGAACTGCTGCTCTTCAGGTTATTCGTTTGTATGTTAATGTTGATGTGTGTGTGCTGATGAAAAGGAAGGGGTGGTGGGCATGCAGGTG